ATATATATATATAGTATTATATTCTTGGAAATGCTTAAGAAAATAGATTTTAAGTGTTCTCACCACAGTGAATAAGTATGTGGGGTGATGCATATATTAATTAGCTTGATTTAGCCATATATATCAAAACATCATGTCAAACCCAATAAATATACACAATTTTGTCAATTTAAATAAATAAATGACAATTTAAAATACAATGTCATTTATAGGACTAAAATGCTGAAATCCACAAAACATTGATTTTTTTAAAAAATCAAAGATCTAAGTTGAGAGATATACAGTGCTCATGGGTTTGAAGACTAAATGTAATAAGGAGGTCAACTCTCCCGAAAGTGCTACACAGATTTCACCTAATTCCTATCAAAATCTCTGGGAGCTTTTTTTTGTAAATATAGGCAAGATTACTTTAAAATGAATAAGGAAAAACAAACTAGAAGAGCTAACATAATTTTGAAAGGGTAAGTGCAAGGAGTCATTATTCAATTTCAGGATATGTACTTATGGTAATTAGGATTAATTATGTGGTGTTGAAAGACGAATAGACACATAGATCAACGGGATAGAATAGAGAAACCCAGAAATAGCCACATACGTGTACAGATATGTGATTTGTAACAAAAGTACAAAAGCAACATCAGTGGAAGATGTAGTCTTTTCAGCAAATGGTTTGGGAGCAATTGGACATCCATTAGCAAAAATATGATCCTTGATGTAACATCATACTTGACACAAAAATTAACTCAAAATGGTTCATGCATTTAAATGTAAAACTATGAAACTTTTATAAGAAACCATAAAAGAAAATCTTCAAGATGTAGAGCTAGGTAAAATTCGTATACTTGTTTAAAAAAAAAAAAAAAAAAAAAAAAAAAAACTAGGGGCCAGGGATTTAGCTCAGCGGTTCGGTGGCCTGCCTTGCAAGTGCAAGGACCTGAGTTCAATCCCCGGTACCAAAAAAAAAACAAAAACATAACTAGGCCGGGTGTGGTGGTGCATGCCTATGATCCCTTCACTCAGGAGGCTGAGGCAGGAGGATCGCCATGAGTTTGAGGCCAGCCTGGGCTACATATTGAGTTCAAGGCCAGCCTGAACTACACAATAAAAACTTGTCTTTGAAAAAAAAAAAAGCTTTTGAAAAATAAAAAAATAACTAGGAGGTCATTAGATAGGGTAGTTCTGAGGAGAGGTAGCTCAGTGGTACAGCACTTGCCTAACATGTGTAAAGCCAGGTTCAATTCCCAACACTGAATGAATGAATGAAAATGAATGAATAAATAAAATTCTCATATGAACAAACCAAAGCCCAATGTAAACAGTAAATTGGAAGTAGAAACTGTACTAATCAGAATCAACTAATCTCTAGCTAGAGACTTTCCACTCTAAGCAAAATTGTTGTATTTGTCTTGCTTCTGCAAACACTTTATAAAATAACTGTTTCCCCTTTTGTCTCTCCCAGGAAAGTGTTTACTATTTGGGATCTGGTGTTGCCTTGATTTATGAATTGCTGAATACTCAGATAAACTCTGTAAAATTTAAATGTGTTTAACTTTTCCTTTGATCACACTTGAAACCAAAAGTATGATCCAGGGCCAGGGATTTAGCTCAGTGGTTTCGCTGCCTGCCTTGCAAGCACAAAGACCCAAGTTCGATCTCCAGTACCAAAAAAAAAAAAGCATGATCCATAAAATGAAAATTTGACAAATTGGAATTTGGCAAAATTGTTAACTTTTGCTCTGCAAAAGAGTCTGTTTAGAGGATGAAAGACAAGTCACTGTCTAGGAGAAAATATATGCAAGCAATATGTGTTAATCAGCTTCCTATTGCTATAACAAATACCTGAGCTAATCAACTTATAAAGAGAAAACGGTTATTTTGGTTCACAGTTTTAAAGGTTTCGGCCAGTTGGCCCTGTTTGTTGCTTTGGGGCTTGTGGCAAGACAAGCACTTCATGGCAGAAGGTGTGATGCAACAAAAGTGCATAGTAGGGGAAGAAAAGAGAGAGGAAGAGCAAGAGACCTGTGGACCCAGAATCCCCTCCAAGAGCAAGCCCCCAATGACCTAAAGACTTCCGACTAAGCTCTGCTTTTTAGTTTCCACCACCTTCCAAAAGCACCACGGACAGGGAAGCAATTCATAAGCCTTTAAAGGACATTCCAGATCCAAACTATAACATCATATACCCAACAAATGCCTAGGATCTAGAATATACAAAAAAAAAGTCTCAAAACTCAACAACAAAAAATGAATGTGACCAGACATTCTGCCAAGGAGAACATGAAAATATACAGATGACTAATAAGCACATGCTTAATAAGCACTGCTCTTCTCATCAAGGTTTACCCAAACTCACTACTTCTGAGCCTGTTCCCATCCCCTCTCGCCTTCTATCTTGCCTCTCCCAGCCCCACCTTCTCATGCACTCTCTTACATTCTCAGACTGGCCAAACAACCAAGCCCCAGCTCCCTGTAGAAACTCAGACAAGCTGCCCTGCCTTCCCTAATTTAGTCTGTATAGCTCTCTCTATTCCCACATTAGTGCTGCCATCTTCTCCACATGGTCACCCTTCTCTCAGCATCCAGAGGAAGGCAATCCTGGGGCGTTTCGGTCTTCCCGAATCAGACTAGCTGCTGAGAAGTGAGGCGAGGTGAAAAGAAAGAGGGGCTTTCAGGCGTGGGGGAGACAGACACACTGCTGAGCACAGGCAGAAGGCTCTTTCTGGTGCTTTCCTTACCATGTCACAGAGGCCACCAGATTCTTTCCCCTCTCTTGTCCTCAGATCAGGAAGGGAAAGTGGATGAACCCAGGGTTCTCTATTCCCTAAGTAGCAAAAGGCCTTCTCTTTTAAAATCAATGTTAAATATGGCATTTAACAACCAGCAAATCAACCAATGGTTATTTCACAGCCGAATATGGTAAAATGGGGAAAAGTATAGCTGGTTAAAGGCCATATTATCCAATGCCGAAGGGGGATAGTGGGGTGTGTTGGGGGCGTGTGTGTGTGTGTGTGTGTGTGTGTGTGTGTGTGTGTATTCCATAGAGACAGATATACACAGAAAGAAAACAGTGGAGGGTGGTGACCTTCAGGATTCTTTGAAACCCCCAGGTGGAACCTAGGTCGGCACACATCCTGCCTGGACCTTTCCTGCCCAGCTGGGATATCCTGTGTTTGTTGAGAGGACCACACGGGGAAGCTGTGACCATTGTCCTTTCTAAAATCTGTCAGTGAATTGTTCCCCAGGTTGAGGCAGCCGCCCGAGGCAGAGGAAGAGTAACTCTGGAAACACGTTATCAGCATCCTCCACGAACTTCCTCACCCCCTCCCCAGCCTCATTAGCCCCAAGCAGATCAGCATCCTTAAACAGAAACCTGGGAGGTCGGTATGAGGTCAGCAGCCTGAAGCCCAGCCCGCTGCTCCGCAGTCTTCCTCTCCAGCCGAGCCTCCCTCCGTGCAGTCCTGTGTGGCAGCTGAAGTCGCAGCTCTGAGTCCAGGATGGAACCCGGGCTGGGGCCTGAAGCTGCCGCCCTCCACACACATTGGCTGGCCAAGTTGCTATTGGGGCTTACGGCCCTGAGCTGTTCTCTCTCCTCGCCAGCTTCTCCCGCTCCTTCTCTGGTGCCCCGAGTCAGAACCACCTACAATTTGGGACGGACTTTCCTCGGTCTTGATAAATGCAATGCCTGCATTGGGACATCCATTTGCAAGAAGTTCTTTAAAGAAGAAATAAGGTCAGAATCTCAATCAAATAACTCTAAGGGGCAAAATTCTGTTCTCTTCATTGAAGATGTCCAGATGTTTGTTAAAAATGAATCAGGATATAATTTATGGGTGGGAGCTACAGCAAAGCTACTTCATGATAGCAGTAATGGTTGGGGTGGGTGGAAGGGCAGTGGCTGAAAACAAACTCCAGCCCTAAATTGCTAAATCCAAAGGTCCCTTTCAAAATGAAAGTTTGAAATTTTCCTTTCTATGAATGGCACAGCCTGGAGCTATTTCATTTTCCAAATTTATTTGGCACGATGAGAGCAACAAAATTTATAGAAAGCCTACTATGTGTGGACATTTGAAACCATCCTGGGTCCTAATAGTTTACACCAGTTATTCTGTTGGTGAACTGTGACATAGGGAGATTGACTCACTCAAGGGCACCACCTAGTAAGTGGCAGATCTGAAATTCAAATTGGGACAGTTTACTCCAAAGTTTCAGAACCCGTTTATCTGTTGTGAGATGTTGCCCTGATCAGAGGAAAACTCTCACCAAAGAATGGTATGGTGCTCTGGAATTCGAGCTGATCAACACACAGTCAAGGTGATTTACCCAAGGCCAGGGCCCAGAAGGTGCTGCATTGACAGCCACTATAACCAGCCATTGTATTCCAGAGGAAGGGAGGCAGAAGGAGGGAACCATGTCACAGGTAATAATATGGCTTTTGATCTGATACAGAACAAGGTGAGAAGCTCCAAAGTGGGGACCTGATTTCAAACTGGAGACAGTGAAAGGGCTTCCCCCAGCGCAGAATTCTGAGCAAGTTCTTCAAAACTGAGCTGACATTTTGTGGGAAGGAAGGGCTTAAGGCAGAATAAGCAGCTGAAGCAAAAACCTAGAGGTGTAGGAATTGTTGAGGTGCTCAGTGGCTGGCATGGCAAAACATTAGAAGGATTGAGGAGCTAGGGAGCCTTGAATGCTGTGCCAAGAATTAAAACTTTAACCTGTGGCCAACAACTCCCGGACTTTTCAGTACCAAAGACCCTTTGTCACACACTCCTTCTCTGCAAGGCCTCAAGGCCCTATCGTGATTTTAAGATTCAGTGACCAAACAAAAAGTATAAGCAATGACTTTATTACCAATCTGTATTATCCAACTAAATTAGTAAACAGAAATCATAAATAGAAAGTACTCATTGAAAATGTTAAACTTCTTTTGAGAGATCACAGATATTTTAGAGAGTTTATGTGAACATTTCTTATTAAGCCTTCTTTAAGGTATTTTAAATGTCAAAAGAGGCTCAATTAGGGCAGTGCCATTGTAGGCAGTGCTGATGGTATTAAGCAGGGAAGGGGAAGATGCCTCCGAAAGCAGTGTGGAGAATGGACTGGAGTTGCTAGCAGGGCTTGTGAGACCAGTTCTCATAGTTTGGAAGACAGGTCATCTGGGGCAAAGGAGGGCAGGAAGCATACAAGTCGGTTCAACCATACAGTCACTTTGTTCACTAACTGGTTGTGAGGTGAAAGGAAGATGGAGATGTTGAACAGGAATTTGAGGTTTCCCATCTAAGAAAGGGGATGAAGAGGACCAAGAACACAGGTGATGTAGTGCTGACTCCTCAGAGGAAAGAGGCAATGGGAAAAGGGGTATATATTAAGACAGTTTAAGATAAGAGGGAGAGAAATTAAGGGTTTCAACTGAAGAAAAGATCTCGGTTCCCTTCCTCCTTTTTCACCAAGTGTCAACAAACAAAATTTTCTGCCCCTCAGGCAGGTACTGGCCAGACTCAGAAAGTATTATCCTGAGTAGATTTGTGCTCTATTGGTGTTCAGGATATTACTTCACCTCCCTTAGAATTCATTTTCCATGTGTGTCTGAAAGGAAAAGATACAGATATACACAGGAAAACACCAGGCAGGGCAGGGGCAGGGTTATAGCTCTCCACACTGAGAATATTCATCCTTAGTGCCATGAGGCAGAGAGAAGCCAGGAACTGTGGTTCATTCCTATAATTCCAACGCTTGAGAGCCTGAGGCATGAAGATCTCCGAGTTCAAGGCCAGCCTGAACTAAATAGTGAAACTGTCTTGAAAAAAAAAAAAACCAGAAAGAGGCCGTGAGTGGGTCTGAGGAGGTAGACTTATTTATAGTCCTCTCTGCATTGTAAATAACTTTCTTCTTACTAAAAAAGTAGTACTTGTTTATTTCAGAATTATCAGGGAATATTGACTAGGGATAACACGAAATAAAAGTCATGTATAATTACTCCCACAAGAGAACAACCCTTAAACATTTAGTTGTATAGCTCTTCCACCTTTATTCTAAATATGGATTAAGAAACGTTTGCAACAAAAATATCATCATATCATGTTTATTACTTGGGGAATTTTCATTTTAAAATATAGTGGGAACATCTTTCCATATGATTAAATATTCTTCACTACTGGATTCTTAATTCTTTTGTTATATTCAATTACATCAATTAACCATAATGTATTTAATTCACTACCATGAGATGGCCTAGTATTTTTTCACTTTTCACTACTATAAAGTCTTTTTTTTTTTAGTACATGCAGTTTAAATCATCTTGGGGAGTAGGTACATGCACACAGTACAACTTGCTTCCTTTTTTTTAAGTCCCCTTTCCCTTCCCTCCTTGCTCTCTCCCTTCTCCTTTAATTCAGCATTATAAAGTGTTATGTTGAACATTCCTGTGGTGAGATTTTGTGCCTAGCCTTGATTAATTCCATGTGAAAACTCTTAGAAGTAGGGTTTCTGGTTCAAAAAACATGGAGTGTGTGTGTGTGTGTGTGTGTGTGTGTGTGTGTGTGTGTGTGTATCCAGAGACTTCTATGTAGAGTTCGCTTCTCACTCCCAAATGTTTCGAATTGCTATATTTTCATTTGCATTTCTTCTGTTCTGAGTTGAGCATTTTTTCAGGCTTATCAGTCATCTGTGTTTCTTCTTTGCCCCCCACTTTTCCTCAAATTATTCATTGGTTGTTTGTTTGTTTGGGTAATGGAGGTTGAACCCCAGACCATGGGCATGCTAAGAATGTGTTCTACCACTGAGCTGAATGCCCAGCTTCTCTTTCCCTCTTTCTAATAAGACGTTTGTTCATCTTATTGATCTCCAAACATTTCTCCACTTTTAAAAATGATCATCATTTCTGTACTGTATCCCTAAAATGTACCAATAAACTCAATTAAAGCTGAAAAAAAGATCATCATTAAATTTCAGGAGAAGTCCCAACTAAACTCTGAGACATCTGGCTGCATACTTTATTTACCAAGGCCAGTGTTCAGGCTCCTGCTCTGGTCCTCACTAAGGACTATGTGATGCTTATATCTGTTCAACAGCAAACCACAGATAGGCCCCTCAAGCTGGTGGGTAGCTGGTGAATGCTTTATCTCACCTTCCTGACTGCATGTATTTGGCCTAATATCTCCAAACCTTTACACCCAAAGTCTTAAAGAAGATTTAAATATTTCCAACAGAGCAGCAGAGAGCTGACAGTAAAAAAAAAAAAAAGAAAAAAGAAAAAAGAAATTGTTAAGCTGAGTACTGCCTTCCTTTCTCCCTTGCCTCTTGTCTTTCTTCTTCACCTCAGAAGATGATAGTGATTATTGCTTTATCTCATTTCCTGACACCAATTCAGAGGCCTTGAGAGCTGCAGGGCCCTAGAGGTAATGGAAAAAGTATCCATCTACACATTCAGTCAACCCTCTGTGTATTCTCTCACTAACCATCACTTTGTGCATCCCAGCATCCATCTCCTCATGCACGTCTCCACTCACTTCTCTTTCTATACATCCAAATACCCACCACTTATCCACCTATACATCCAAACACTTATCCATCTGTCCACTTACCCAACCATAAGGTATTGAGCACTGACTTGGTGCCAGCACTCCACTGAACACTGAGTTACAAACTTGGAAGAGACCCTATCCTTGTCCTGAAGGAATTTGCTTTCAACCAGGAAGGTAGGGAAGTAAATCAATAGCTAAATCAAAGTATTAGGAAGGAATTATGCATACAAAATGTCCCACACAGAGCATTATGGGAGCATATGGGAAGGAATGGATCCCAATTAGGAGACAAGGGAATGGCCATCAGAAGATTCCCCTGTTTAGTGTATAAAGGGTTAGGTAGATGTTATCCAGACAAGATGAAGAAAGTGTCTTATGCAAAGGAAACACAACATGGCAAATGGATAGAGACTCAGAGGTCCAAACAAATGTGGTTTAGACAAAGGTAACCTGTGGTTTGGGAGACCAAAGCAAGCTTATAAGAGGAACCACAGGTAAAAGGCCTAGAAAGGGCACTGTGAACTGTGCTGAAGAATGTGACTGCATCCCAAGAGCTTTGGAAAAATGCTAGATGATTTAAGGTTTCAGTTCAGAGCTGAGGGATGGAGAATAGAAGAAAGAAATAAATAGAAAGGCATGTCTATGTGCAAGAGAAAATGACATTTCACTGTAAATCCCAATGCTGCCTCTCCTTCACACATAGCCTCCCTACCCTCCATGTTAAGAGGCTCAGGGGATTGGCCTTGGTGCTTCCTCCCAGCTCTGAGAAACTGTGAAACTATAATCCCACTTGTCCATCTTTTTTTCTTTTTCTTTCTTGTTTATTGTACTGGCGAATGAACCCAGGACCTTTGCAATGAGCTATATTCCCAGCCGCCGCCCCAACCCCATTTGGCGGGGGCAGGGCTTGCTAAGTCTCTAAGTTGGCCAAACTGGGTTTGAACTTTCAATCTTCCTGCCTCAGCCTCACAGAGTGCTGGGATTATAGGTATGCATCACCATGCCTGGCTCTGCTTGACTGTCTTTTAGCCCAATAAGGAACCTGGTCAGCATCACATCAATTATGTCCATGATCTCAGTGCAGAAGAAAACTTTGGAAGCTGTGTCTGTTTTGTGGTTTTCCAAATTCCAGGATATTAACAACTTGGTGAATAAAAAGTAGGACCCATATTTTCACTGACATTCTTCTGCTCAATAAAGTAGGTGATTGATATTGGGAAAATATGCATTTCTCCCATTCGATGGAAAGGAGGTTTGGAAACTTCTCTGTTTCGGTCCTTATGGAATGCCCTTGGCCACTGCTAAATCTGCATAGGCACTCACTGCAGGTCTCCTACCAAGACACTGCTGTCATCTCAACAGTGCCTTCTCAGGAGGTGGGGACAGAAGAAAAGGACAGAAAAGTCTCTCTACCCAACCCACCAATTAGGTGAACAGGAGCCTGAGATCTCCCTCCCTCTCCATTAATTGTCTGCAGCTCTTCACACAAGTCACATATACTTATATATTCTGGCTTCAGTTTTCTCATCCACAAAACAAAATAGGAATGAGAGCAAGGGCAAAACAAACTTTCAGGACCTAGTCGGCTCTAAGCCTTAGTAATGTTATCAATCTATTCCCATGAGCTAATTCATAAAATGGATGATAGAGGAATAAGCAGCATGGTGAAGAGGTGAAGACTGCAAGCTCAGCTGCCTTGAATGTCACATCCTCTGACTCCTGCTCATGTAGCCTTGGATAAATGATGTAACCATTCTGTGCCTCAGTTTCTTCATCTGTATGGTTAATAATAGTATCAACCTTATAGGTTTATTGAAAGAATTAAATTAACATACATAAAGCGCTGAGCAAAATGACCACCATGCTTAAGTATTTCATAAATGTATGTTATTATTATCATTAACCAAAAGAGCCATTCAGCTGTAAATACTTAAACTCAGGATCTCTGGTGGGTTGAAACTCCACAAGCAGGAAGAGCTGCAGAACACAGGCAGATAGGCCTGCCTTGGGGCCTTGGGCCCTAGTTGATTCTCCCAGTAGGGTGGGTCAGTTCCCATGATTGCCCTGAAACTTCCAGTAAAATCAACTTATTAAAGTTTACAGTGTTTCATCTTTTTAAATATCCTTGTGGAAATGTTCTTGAATAGAATTCCATTGCAACTTGCACTGTCGAAGTTGCTCCCTGACCATTTCTGTTGGTTGCCCATCTTGCCAGATGTGAGAGGTCCAGAGCTCTCATGCATTCTCCAGGGACTCAGGGGTCTGCACTCTCTAGCTCCCTGGACAAATCCTGTGACCTCTTCATCCTTGCAAGATTTTTGTGTGGCTTTCTTTGCCATCAAAACAATAGGAAAAGCTTGTGGTCTCAGGCAAGGCTGCATCATAGAAGTAAGAAAACAAAACAATCTAGGGTTTGGGGCTCACTAAAATGCTATCTCTCCCAAAACATTATCCAAATCTCATTGTCATGGGGTTACTCAATATTGCTCCATAATAAGAATTTAAAGATTCTCATTTATATTAAATTAATGTATTATATAGCCCAATTTTCACTTGCTGTATGACACTCAGTTATTAATAATAATGAAGGTAAACTTTTTCTGGGTAGTTTTTCATACATAAATCAAAAGGAGATAGGACTGAGGATTTAGCTCAGTGGCACTGCGTCTGCCTCACAAGAGCAAGGTCCTGAATTCAATCCCCAGTACCAAAAAAAAAGGAGATTTGAAATTCTACTCTAATGGAAATGCTAGCATGCAGTTGGAGAAATGAGTAGGGAGAAAAAAGTGACCGTGAGGCTGAGAAAATTGGCAAATGATAATAAGCCTGTGCCTCTCCTCCTGGAACCCAGGTAGCTTCCAGTTTTGGTGACCACTTGCAACCATGGTTGTCTGAGACTTTGTTGGTGTTGATGACTTAAATCTTTGTACTGAGAAAAAAATTGAAGGGGCTCCTTCAAATTGGATGCGGAGAGGCATTGGTCTCCCCAGTGCAGGCCCAAGAGCCTCTTCGAGAACAATGGATGGGTGGTTTGGGTAACTAAAAGAAGGGAGGGAAAAGATGGTGGTGCTCACTGATAGACAGCCCAGGGTTTTTATCCCTGCAATATACCGTCTGACCCTTGGCAAAGTACTCAGGTTCTATGAGCTTCTATTCCCAAACCAGCAAAGCGAGGCTGGGGTATGAGAAGAATCAAAAGTGTCAGCATGTGTATAGTTACTATCTTTACATGAGTAGAAATTCAGTAGATTGCAGCTAGCCCTTCTATACCAGTTGAGTGAAAAGGATAATTTCTGTCCTGCCCATACCTCTCTCACCTTTTCTGACATCACATAAACACTTCTTGGAGTCTGAGGAAATGAAAAGACTCCTCTCATTAGGAAGAGTTTGGAATACTTTAGTCTAAGAGAAGTGGATCAGGTGGGCTATTTTTCCCTGTCTCCTTCCCCTCGGCTCTGCTGGCCTCCAGCTCAAGGTTAATCCTAAAAGGGCTATTCTTCCAACAGGTTTGACAACTCGCTGGCTTCCCACCTCGAATTGCCTTCTGAATACTTGCCTTCTTACCCTGCAAATTACTCAGATGATTCTAAAACCTGGCGCACTGTAGAGATCTCTAGGCTGATCAGCAGATACCAAAATGAGGTCTCAGACATGAGAATCTGTGCCTCCATATCAGCCCCAAAGACCTGCAGTATTGAGCGTGTCCTGAGGAAAACAGAAAGGTTCCAGAAATGGCTGCGGGCCAAGCGCCTCACACCGGACCTGGTGCAGGTGAGTGTGTGGCCTATAGGTGTGTGGGTGGGCACAGGGAGAGAGAAAGAGAGGGAGGGAGGAAAGGAGGGAGGGAGACAGATCCATTCCAATCTCACATCTCATCTGAAGAAAAGGAGACATGCCGGCCTGTCTAAACTATAATAAAGCCGAGTGGCTTGTGACAAGACAGAAACTTAACAATATTTATTTCTAAGGCTATGTCCCATTGTCATCCACCATTTTTTTTTTATGTGACCCTCAGAGATTATTTGAGAAATAATTTCCAGCTGCCACTTCCAGGCTGAAGACCTTACAGGATGACTTTTAGCAGCCCACCTCCCAGACAGGGTGAAACTCACCTGCAGCAGTCCCCTGGCAGCCTTCACCAAGCCCCAGGATAGGTGAGCATCCTCCCACAGAAGTTCCCATATATATCCTACTGTACATCAGTTCCCGCCTGCACTATTGTCTTCTTTGTTCAGACCAGCACAGCCATGAACCTCCACACACATCTAGCTGAGACCTTAGAATGGAAGATGCTCCTTCTAAAGACTGAGCAGTGGCTCACCTTCAGCAAAGACGGGAAACAAGAGGCTTGCTGCAACCTCCCTACCATGACAAGGCTGGAGGACTTGAACTGCCCTTCTCATGGGGACGCTGGCTGCTTCCCACACTCCCTGGGCCACTACCAACTTCACACGGACACCGAAACTGCCTGGGTGGATGGAATCTGAGCATTAACAGACCCTCCCCTGGCTCCTTCAAGATGAAGGACATACAGCAAGAATATTCCTGGATATCTCATCCATATAACCAGACTGGCTTTGCTCTTAGGTTGTGTGGCATGATGGGTACTTTTATGTGTCAACTTGATGTGGACATAGAATGCGCAGTATTCTGAGTCAAATAGTATTCTCAGTGTTTCTTTGAAGGCCACATACCATTCCACAGCTAGTTCTGAGGCTTGGGAAAGACCACCGTGAGACTGTTTCCACTTTGCCACATATGTGCTGAGGACTATAAGAAGATAGACAAGGAGTCCGGGAAAAACAGAGAACTTATTTCAGAACTTCTTGAAAATCCCATTAGTTCTTCCTGCCTCCATGTTGTCAAGTCACACACTGCAGAGTACAATATGCAAGAAAAGACTACCTGGACAACATAGTAAAGGAAGGAACTTCCTGGTGCACAAGACATTCTTGAGATTCTACGTAAGATGGCTAGTCTGGCCTTAGGCTTTGAAATGAGGAAAAATATTTCCCTTGCCTTCTAGACACTTCCGTAATAAAATAGAGTAGGAATTAGTCTAAGAGACCTGACAAATCCAAAACAACCTTCCAGATACATCCAATGTCGCTTATCTTGATGGATATAAATATTAGAGTGTAGGAAAAAGATTTGGGGACTGGAAACTATGGTTAAATTCTAGATCTTCCACTGAAAGCTGTGGAAAAATGAGGAGCAGAGATCCAGGAAGAACAGAGAACTTCTCATTCCTGTTAATCCATTCAACAAGTTTCAACAACTGTGCTGCATCCTGGGGACTCAATGATGAGTCAGACACAAGCTCCACTCCCAGAAGCTTATGGCTCAGTGTAGAAACAGACAAGAGTACGCATTACTGCAAAGCAAAGTAGTTGATGTTATGACATTCCATATGGGGACAAAGAACAGACTACTGACTTGGGTCTTTCATTTACTGACCAGTTTACCTTGAATTTAAACTCAGGACTTCCCTACTGTGCTCTGCCCCAAAAGTGACACAGGAAGAGAGCCTAGGGCAGTGGTGGCAAACCTATGGCACACGTGCTGCAGTGAGCACACAGAGCCTTCTCTGTCTGCACTTGAGCCAAGTCACTGCAACAGCTAAGCATCAGATAACAGTTGCATTTTCTAAACTAAAACCTCAGTATTCAGGTTTAATCGCAGTGTTGGCACTTTGTGGTAAGTCAGTGGGTGGGTTGCAGTTTGGGCACTCGGTCTATAAAAGGTTCACCATGACTGGCCTAAGGATCATCTCAAATATCCTCTGAGCTCTGACATTTGGCTGGATGTGACTCTGCTTCATTTATGTAGCAAATACTGACTGAATGCCCACTGTCACCAGGTGCTGTGCTAGGTAGGCCCTTGAATTTGCTTGTTTCTCAAATGGTAGCAAATGGTAACTGCTTTGCCTGATTCATTCATCCTAATGAGCTTATAGACATGAAGATGCTATAATGGAAATGCACAGCAAGTGCCATGCTTGTAATAAGTGAGTTCCTTTTTTTTCATTGTGCTTAAATGTGTTCTACCTATTTTAGCATCTTGCTTTACATCCAACTAAACAAGTCTCCCTTCTTTCTGCCCAAACAACATCCATTAACAACACCCTGTTAAGACAGCCCGATCCATAATCATTTAGGACCCTCCCTCATTTAGGAGCACCCAAACTGCTGCTCTTTTTTTTTTTTTTTTTTTTTTT